CCCACCCCGCCCCCACCAAGAAGGGGGGGGGGGGGGGGGGGGAGAGAACCTGAAGCTATAGTTAGAAAGATTTTGAGGTGAACTTGTTATAATTAATATAAATATACAGTTTCCTATTAAAAATTAAAATCAAATCTTACTTACTGAGACTCAATGCGTCAGTACGCCTTGATCTTCCTGACGAGAATTTTTTGTGGGATTTTAAAATACATTAAAAAGAAACTGATTGTATTAGGTTATACAGTGAGGGGAAAAAATAATCAAAATACCCTGTGATCACTTTCAGTCTTCAGCAGTCCATTAAAACCATTTATCCGCTCATGTCATGTCTGTTTTGTATTGTCAGGTTATGCCGTCTAAAGAAGAAAGCTCAAGCTGAAGCAAATGCGACATCTATCAGTAATCTCTTGCCATTTATGGAATATGAAGTGCACACCCAACTGATGAATAAACTTAAGCTGAGAGGAATGAATGCTTTATTTGGGCTGAGGATTCAGATCACTGTGGGTGAAAATATGCTAATGGGGTTGGCAGTAAGTACAGTTTTAATCTTGAGATTCTTGTGCTTTCTTACACTATATTTTCAGCACATAAAGACATACAAGTGTTGTGGAATTCAGAGTAACTAGAAATGGTAAATGAAGTGATGGAAAGGAATGAGGTGTCTAATTGTTGACAAATTAGGACAGTCTGTCTTTCAGCACCAGAAAAAGAAGATTCGAATCTCTTGAAACTCTGTTAGAGGACAAGATGATTAGAAAGGGGATGAGAGGAAAAGAAACGTTAAGTGGTTTAATGGCATAAATTACAGAAAAATGATTGTGTTCTTTAAAGGTCTTGTCAAAGAGATTACATTACAGTTCCATGACAAAGTCCATTAACCAAAAGATTTATTGAGAGACTTAGTTGCCAACAAAAGGTCTGTTGCCTCTTCTTTGATGGCACTGAAGAAATAAATGAGAGATTGGAAGTGTCTTAGAGATAACCAAGAAATGTTCCTTAACAATATTTTCTAGCCTCATTCTGTCATGTGGGGTGAGAATAGTGAAGTATGCTACTTCTTCCTGCATCAATGTAAGAGGATGCTTTGGTAATATTGACTGACTTGCATATTCTTTTGTCTGAACTGATGATCTGTTTTCTGTAAATAGAAATGGGATTGTCACAACTTCAGTGATGCTGTAAATGGTTTGGTCAAGTTTTAAATCCTTGAAACCATCACTTGCCTATGCAAAATATACTAGGGCAGAGGTTTTAATTCCTACTTTGTTTGGAACTTTTAGGTAAGTTAAGAGCTTCACCATGGAAAAGACCCATAAGAAGGAGAGAGTTTATTAAAAGAATAGTGGGTTTTTTTCATAAGTGAACAGGAGATACATATCCGTTTGTTATGGGAAGAAATCATGCTGTAATGTACGTGTCACAATGCTGTCCATTATAGCATAAGCATTATCGAAAACTTTATATGAAAATATTGGAAGTACATGCTTATGTAATTGTCTTTTTTTCTTAATGACTTTTTAAAAGTCTGCAACAGGGGTGTATTTAGCCGCTTTGCCAACACCTGGTGGTATTCAGATTGCTGGGAAGACTCCAAATGATGGCACCTATGAGCAGCATATATCTCACATGCAAAAGAAAATAAATGATACAATAGCAAAAAACAAGGAACTTTATGAAATTAATCCTCCAGTAAGTAAAGGTCTTATATTCTTAAAAATAAAGCATTCTGACTCAAACACGTATACGCCATGTATATCCATGAATTCTTATTGACTGAGTCATTCAGAACTTAAGTTGTTTATTAATAGAGATTCTTTTCACTATTGTTTGGGAACCTACTGGAATTTTCAGATCTCTCAATCCACGTATCCAAATCAGTTTGTACTTAGATTTATTTTTCAGTAAATTAGTTTCAGAGTGTTCTTATTCTTAGAACTGTTAACAAATTGCTTATAATTGAGATTATTTCTAAGCTACGTACAACAACTGTTAATTTTTATATCCTTTTTAGGAGCTACCTGAAGAAATCATTGGGTCTCCCATTCCAGAGCCAAGACAGCGTTCCAGGTTATTAAGATCTCAGTCAGAAAGCTCTGATGAAGTTACAGAGCTAGACCTTTCACATGGGAAAAAGGATGCTTTTGTCTTGGAGGTGATAAATCTTTTCAGAACTCATTTTCCTAATTTACTTTTCCTGAAATAGGTATTAAAAAAAAAAAGGAGAAAAGCTTTTCTTACTCATCTCCAAAGATAGTTCTTAAATTTTATATATTTTTTTCCATTTTGAGTAAGTAGAAAATGTTAAGTATTGGATTTTGCATTGTCTCTCTTTTTCTTAGTCTGTTTGCTTATAACATAGCTATATTATGCCAGGGAACAGTATTGCCCTGCTGTTCATGAACGTGTAGCAATATATAGATTAAGAGCTGGTAAGAAATGCCCTTCGCCTACTTCATGCAGCAGTTGTGACTAATCTAAAACTTAGATGTATTTTTATAAACATTGAGGTTCTGTATTATCACACTTTAGATTTAGCAAAGGAAAAGCTTGTATATTCATCCTGTTTCAAAGCTCTTATTGTTACGGTTGGTTATTCAGAATTATTAGTTTCCAGAACTGGTAGTATTCAAAGCATTCAAAAAACCACATGTATCAAGAGAGCACATAAAAGAAGACTTGCTTTTCTGAATTTCAGCTGATGCTTTTCAGAGTTCAAGAATTTAAAACTTCAGAGAATACCTTCCAGTTCTTTCTACAACTAGAAACAAGAGCAGCACCTTAATAAAGAACATAGATTTCTTTTACCTCTCTATTCACTAAAATTCAAAGATTTTATTTTAACATTGTATGGAAGAAAAGGAGCCAAGTACTGAAGAAGGCTAGAATTTTGATCATCTTCTTGTAGACATAGGTTTTACAAATACTTAGCCTAGACTAAGAATAAGAAAACAATTGAATTAAATTACAGCCTGTACTTGCAGCCTAAGGTGCATTCAATACTTTCCTTTATGTTTATCTTCACAAATCACTGTCTTCATAGAAGGTAATCTGGAAGAAGGGTTGTAGGTAGGGAGAATGGGAAAGTGCTGGAACAGCAGCTCATTTGAAAACAGAGGTAAGAAAGGAGAGTGAAAAAATAACAAGTTGGGAGAGGTTGGTATAATAAAATGAGATTGGTTGGTGCTTCTGCTCTTGGAGGAAATTTTGTTCTCCAGTGCACTATGGGTATACTAGGATCAAAGTAAGTAAATTGAGAAGTCCCTAAAAGTAACTTTGATGCTAGTTTATTCTCACATTAAAAAGAAGTGAGGACAGTTTTCATCAAGTATTTTTTGCTGCTGGTCTTAACAGGTTTTTGTTTTAATGTCATGTCTGTGCAGACTGCCAGGAGTGGAATTGTATCCTCAAAACAAAAGTTAGGACAGGTGCTCTCTGAGGCACTGTAGAGAAATGGATGAAACAATCAGAAAATGCTTGGATAAGTGCAAAAAAAATTGAATGTCTTTTACAAAGAGGATTATGTGAGGCATAACACCCCCCCCCCTTCCCCCGCAAAACACAAAGACTGTTTTACTGCAAGAGACCCTTTGGACAAGTTACAAAGAATACTGTAAAAACGTAAGCCCACCTTCCATTTCACTTCTAAAGGGTGTCAAATACAAGAGAGCGCAATAATAAAAGGTTGGCATACTTTTGTCTGTCCCGTTGCCTCATAAAGAAGCATGATACGTTATAAGCAAAGATCAGCTGGTTAAGGACTGCATTATATACTGCAGGCAGAGTTCAATTCTTTTTTTTACAATTTTGGAGAATTCTTCTTTCTGCCTTATTTATTAACTGTATTATATGCACTTAGGGGGATAGGAAGAGATCTCCATGCAGAAGGGAAAAATGTAAATACACTGTAGTGTAATACAGACTATGTTATAGATGGTGCTAAAGCTAGCAAGTAAAATAAGATCTGATGTTTAAGGACCATTGTTTACTGGTTTACATTATGTGAATGTGTTGGTCCTAGAATATGCGTCCTTGTGTTTTGGTAGTTCAATCCTTATTTATAGAAAAAAGGACTTTTCTTTTATGGAACCACTTCCTATTGTCTTTGTTAAGAAACTGGGTATTAAAAACAATATTCCTGGAGTGGTAGTGAAGCTCCTGACTATGACCTTTCAAGAGTAAAATCATTGTTCACTGGAAATATGTGAGGAAAAAATGGTAAAAAAATTCACTGTGATGAGGAAATGCTATGAGATGCTGGGAAGGCAATTATGACAGGTAAGGCTGTCTCTATTTTTTTTTTTGGAGAAAAAAAAAAAAAAGATGACAACTCTTACTTTGAGAGTGAGTAGGAGAAGGAGAAAATACCTGGCTGAGAACCCTTTAATGGATTTAAAATAGAAACATTTTCCAACAAATTTGATAAAAAAATGTTGGAAGTTAGAGGTAAACTTGGATCTCTTGCAGATCAATAGGGCAGAATGAACCTAAAGACGTGTGACAGAAGTGTTTACAGAAGGTAGCAGGGCAGATATGCTCTCAGTCTGATATAAAATAACAGAAGTCTTTAAAGATTGGATGGAGTAGAGTTTGTTTGGATAGGGAAAAACTAATGATCCCCAAGTTTACCTTTTCCTATTTGATTTTTCTGGTGTTCATACTAAGCAAGGTTTTTTCCAAGTCCTGGAAAGATTTTTGTGTGTCATTGGAATAGGCAGAGAATGATTGCATCAGTATAATACAAACGCCTTATGAGAGCTCTAATAGCCAAAGGTCTATAGCTGGAAAAAGTTGTAAGCTGTTGTGTGGAACTTTGTTCAGCATTTTAAATTGTTTTAAAAATTGTCTTCTTACCGTTTTTCTCTTATCCACTGCAGTTTCTGTGTTCAGTGCACATTGCTTTATTTTTAACACAATTTTAATAAGGGAACTATTTTTTAGGTGTTGACCGTATAGGCTGCTAGTTACGATTCAGAGGTCTGTTTGATGGAATCCTTTTTTAAAATCTCAACTTAGCTGCCAGATATGGATCTCTTGATGATGAAGTTTTTACATCTTTCTGAGACTTCTGACTGGAACAGCAACATGATTTTTGTCAATTTTTCCTTTCCAGATTGATGATACAGATGCAATGGAAGACGTACATTCTTTACTGACAGATGTTCCGCCACCTTCTGGTATAGTAAAAACCATATTTTTCTGATTTATGCTATAGGCTGCAAAATGACAAAATAGAACTGTTTTTATTTAAAAAGTTCCAAGAGTAACAGTTTCTGAAGATATTTAGACTCTGAATGGCTGATTTCTGAGTTTCACGGTCAATGAAAGTAGAAGTATGGAGCATAGAATATTCTTTAAGTATTTGTAGCCCTATAATGTGACACATTGGTGTTGTGTTCCAAGAATGTTACTTAAAGTGAGTTGCCCTTCCAGCACTCTAGTTCAACAAGTGCATTTGTATTTTCCTTGCATTGTGATTGTGCCATACTGTCAATTGAAGTCTTTGTGTTCATTGCATTTGTAGTCTTTGCTGTTAAAAAAAGCAAAGTCCAAAATGATACAGAGTTCTTAAATCACCCACAGCATTTTTATCCAAGTCAGTATTGGTCATTTGCCGTAAAAGACGGTAAAGTCAAATAATAGAAATATCGTGGTTTCTGATTTCTTCAGTGTTTTTTATAGATGTATTTTTAAAAAGTGTTGCAACTTGAGAACATAAAACTGATTAAAGTGAATAATTTTCAAAATTCAATCATGAGACTTGAAATCAGTGTCTTTTTTTCTTTACAGTATTAGGAATGCAGCCCAAGCATTCATATTGGCAGTAGAATTTTGTGAGGTGTCCATTTAGTTGTCTCCATTTAAAAATTGTTGAAGAACCCAACATAGTGGGAAGTGTACTGAAATCGCTCAATGTCTGCTTGCTGATAGGAATCAGGCAAGAATGTATATTGCATTAATGTAAGAGGAAAGGAGAAAAAAAAATCCCACAGAATAGCATGCTAATAGTTAATAGTTCAAGAGCATCCTGAAAGTAAGTTACTGTCTTTGTAAACCATAGCCTTGGTCAGACTTTTCTGTGCACTTGGCTGTTTGCATTTTGAGCCCACGTGCATCTTCAGTGTTTGCAGAATTTTTCATCAGGATCTGTACCTATAGAAGAGCCAGCTTCTTATGCTTGGTTTGTATCAGCCACTTTTTTTTTTTTTTTGTATTGGGAAGAACAGTGAATCATTGCTCTATATCAGTCTTATTTATGCTATTTGTGGTTGTATAGGTATTTGTAGTATCCTCCTTGATGGAATTCCATGATCTAGATAAGAGGCTAATGTAGTTGTCCATTATATGGAAGTTGCTCTGTACATTTGTTTGTCCTTGTTCCCCCTCTCTTATCTTTGCAAGTTTCCCCATATTTCTTCTGAACACATATCTGTTCCCTTCCTAATAATTGGTATTAGTGTTTATCATTTTGAGTATTGTTGAGCTCAGAACTATCTTTGTCATAGGTAACTATTATTATCACCAAATCTTCTATTCCTCATCGATTATACTTTGTTAGGTCCTGCTGCGGTTGATTTTACTACCTTAAAATAAGACCATCAGCCATCTGTATCAGTCAGATGGCTTTTGTCTACATGCTTGTTGACAGCTTGTGAGCAATGACTGTTACGTAGAAAAGTGGTATCAGCTCCTCTGCAGTGTCTTGGTTTTTTCCATCTGCTCATGAACTCTAATAGCTTCTACAGGCTTGTAATACAGATATCTGTACTAGGCAAATTAGTAGGTCCCAGTCACTACCTGAAGATTAATGATCCCCTCCTCTGGTAGTGGGATAATTTTAAGTTAGCTGACTAATTGGCATTGAACTCTATTTCATCTTTTGCCTTTCCTGTTGTTATGTGAATCCTTATTTGTTCAATATCTCCTTCAGTCACTTGTTTAAGACAGGTTCTCTGATGGAAAATAAACAAGAGATTGGTTTTCCACTATTATAGAAAGTTCTTCTACCATGGCGAACATTGATGTAGAAAAAATGCATGTTTTCCGCTATTGTGTTATTGTCTCTGCATATTCTTTCTATATCTTACTTGACTCTTCAACAAGATTTCTGCTTTTGAACTTCTGAAAGAAAATCTGTTAGTATTTATACCTCCTGCAAGCTGTTACACAATTTCTTTTCTTGTTTATTTTGTGCATTTACGTAGACCCTACCAGATTTTTTCTCTTTTGTGCTCATTTAACTATATCTTTAGTTTTTTGAGATTGCCTATTTGCTGTTTATAACTTTTCTTACCCTGCTGTTTAGTTGTCATATTTTTTCCTTTTTTTTTGTCTTTTCAAGTCTCTGTTAGTAAGTGCTATGTATTTGCACTCAGTCTCTAGGTAGTATCTTTAAAGCATCTGCCTGAACGCTTCTCCGTGCTTAGGACCCACTAGTTGGGGTTTTCTTGTTTTGTGGGTTCCACAAGGAGGGGTTCCATGAAGCGGGGAGGAAGTGTGTCTCATCAATTAGCTTTAGCATCAGATGACGCAAGTTACCCAGTCTCCATGGGGGAGCAACTGTTGCGTTTCATGCCATTGCAGCCTCTCTCATGTTCCTCAACATGATATTTCTGGCCTTGCTTTTTGGCAGTTGGAAGAAATACTCAGAATAAGAATTGTGTAGCAAGTTAGTGTTTTAGAAGTGGTGAGTTCCATCTTTCCTATCCATTTTTTTCACTACAGTATGAATAACAGAAGGCATGTGTTTCTTTTGTATGTTATATTGTATTCTTCAGATGCTATGTACGTTTTTTGAATGTTGGTCTTATATTTCTGGTATATTACTCAATATTTGAAAACACAAGGGAGAATACTTGCAAAACATCGAGTAAGTTCACATATGTTTCTTTAAAATTATTTTTATATTTCAGTGTGCAACATAGATTTCCCCAAATATTTTCTTTACAGGTTTTTACAGTTGCAACACAGAAATTATGCCTGGTATAAATAACTGGACACCGGAAATTCAAGTAAGGTTATTCAAAGAAAATGATAACTTTTTTCCAAATTGTGTTGAAATACACTGTAGTAATTTAAATATATATTAGAGATCACTAATTTTGAAAGATAAATTAAAAAGATACTCTTGTGTTAGAAATAAAAGTAGTATTTTAGTAAGAAAAATAGGCTATGAGAAGCTGTTTCTTTTGTGTTTTTTTCCAGTGCTGTTAATGTAACAGAGAATCTGGTACAAACCTACAAAAATTAGAAAGTAATTACAGTAAATATGAACTTTAAGCTTTTGGGCATTTTTAAGAGCTTGGCTAGATTTTGAAGCCTCATAGAAGCAGCAAATTGTTGACTGTGTTACTTCGAATCATAGAATGGTTTGAGTTGAAAGGCATGTTCAAGATCATCTAGTTTCAACCCCCCTGCCATGGGCAGGGACACCCTCCACTAGACCAGGTTGCCCAAAGCCCCA